AAATAATATATTTTAATGTTTTGTTTAAATAAACCTACAAAATAATTTAACGTATATTTATTGTCCTCTAAGTAATGTTAGTTTATTTAATATTTGTCTTTTAGTAGATTTTACTGATTTAAATATTTTAACTTCATATACTTTTCACATATAGTCCTCACAAGTTCTTATCCATATTTTTTNTTTTTAATACATGATATACAATTTAATTTTTTTGTAGCTTAGGTGTACTGTTTTTATAGGAGTTATTAAAAAAGTTATTATTTCTATTTCTTAAATTGACATTTTTCTTTTTTAAACGACAGTTTAAAATTGACACTGCATTTTTGGATAAATTTCAGGCGTCGTTTTTATTAATAATAATAAACTACTCTTGAAAATGTAAAGAACATATAACAGACGATTTAGAGGGCGCCCAATCTTTTTTTTATGGCTTTGACCCTTTCCAATTTCATTTCCACCTTCTTTAGGAAACCTGAGAATAAAAACAAGAAAATGGGTACCTAATACAATTTTATTCAGTAACTAATTACCTGTAATTTAACATTAATGTATGTTTATTATTGAAATTATATGTTGAGGTTTCAATATTTACAATTATTTTTAATAGCCGTCATGAAAATAAACACCAATTGTGACAAAAAACTAATTGTAAATAGCCGGTTGATAATATGAGCCTGTATATTTACATCAGTTAATAACGTGGCACTAAAAAACATGAAGCCAACACTGGAAATAAGTGCATGTGAGATGGAGTATGCTGCGCGAAGCCGTCGAAATGGCGTAAAATATTTTTATGTTATTACTTACCTAAAGAATGAAATTTCAGCACTATTGTGATCAGATCTACTATTACAATCGTCAACGATACACTGCCCCAGTATTGCACAAATAAAAACAATATATTTAATAAAATACTGACAATGTTAACACATCGAATGTCTAACAGCGACTGCGATGAGAGCGCGAGACTGGCTGGGCTGAGGTTGGGCTGACGGTTGACTTCACCGGCTTGCCTCTACAGTTCAGGTCTATTTTGTCTATGATTAGAACCATATATTTATTATCACAGACCACCTAAACTGGCATATAGAGCGACTTTGGTGAAAACACTTCGGAGCCTGATTTGGAGCCCAGCGCTCAGTCGTGTCCTAGCATTTGACGTGTACGCATCGCTGTGATTTCGATAATTAGACGTTTTATCATGGGCAAGTGTATTGTAAAACATTGTATAAATAGAAGTGATCGAGTTGGTGAAGAGAGGCGAAAAGTTTCCTTCTTTAGGTAAGTAAAAAAAAGGAATATATAAAAGGTAAATATGTACGCCATTTTTCGGTTAACGTCACAAGTTTCCAGGGTTAGCTTTATAATTTTGTTCGCCCACATAGTGTAGTGATTAACGTGATATTGTTATTATAAAATAATGAATGAATTACTGTAAAATATTTTTAGTAATTATTTACTTTATGTGAGTCTTAAATTTTTATGAAATTTTACCAATTCCCGTCATTTCGAGATAGCTGAAAATTAATTAAATATTTTTTTCAATTAAAAAAATCGCAAACAAAACTAATTTCAGATTCAGTATTCGTACAGTCAATTAATTTTTATTAAAGATCGTGGTTGTTTGACGTATCCATCTCGAGATGTCGTAGTAATATGCCAAGAAACAGAAAAATTAATAAATTTTTTTAATAATGATGAAAGCAGAACACCTAGGCTACAGAAAAATAAAATTGTTTATCATGTATTAAAAAACTTTCTGAATGTGAACATATTTGAAAATTTGCATGAACATCAATTTGATAATTTGCCTAACAACTGTAATCATTTAATAGAACTTGTATGGGTTGAATGTGAAAAGTATATCGATGTACGAATAAATCATGAAGTCAAATTATTTAATTCGGTAAAATCTACGAAAAGGCAAATATAAAATTAATTAATATTATTTAGAGGACAATAAATGTATTAAAATTATTTTGTAGTTTTATTTAATATGACACTAAAATATACTATTTTCTGAATTACAAACTTAAAATTGAATATTTGTCATAAGATGCAATATAATGTTTAATATGTAATAAACATTTTACTTAATCCGGATCTGCTTAAAGATGCGCGCGATCAGATTGCCAGACTGGTACCCGTGCACTGAAATTAGATACGGCCAGTCTAGGTGGTCTGTGATTTATTATCTATATACTGGTAGCCGGCTATAGGCCCCTGTGTACGGAATTGTCCGGAGAGAAGGAGATACTTTTCTGTCTCTCCCGAGGAATTAGAACCCAATGCGCATGCCCTGCACACAAAATCATGAACGAGCGGAGAGAGCAAGACGGCTGTGGTCCTTACTGCGGATTGTCCACTGCTTAGATTGTGACATTTTGCTTATTGTATCTAGCGAAATTGTCACATTCTGGCATCGGCATCTGCTTCTAACGCATGCGCACCATTCCCTGTTTACTCGGCAAGGACAGAGCGATGAGGCTTTCCTTCCGGTCAAGATCCAAACAAAACTCATAGTATATAGATAGTATGTATATGATTACAACGCAATTATAGGTTATGTGTAGAACAAGCTGGAGACCATTTAGAAAATTTATTACATGAATAAAACTATTACATAAACATAAATATCATAAATGAAATTTAAAAAATTCAGAATATTGTACATAATCTAGTAACATCTTTTCATTTAGCTTTTTAGCCATTCCAGAAGACAGTAGCAAAAGGACTACCGACACGTCAGCAAGTTCAGGCCCATTTCCATAAGATAAACAAGCGAAAAAACTCAGAAATTTTGAAGATATGTATGAATATACCTAGACTACAATATAGAATGGGAATAGAATTATTATTGTATGTTTAGTATATGTATTTGTTACTGTGTACAGTCTGTGTCACGATAGAAAATTTATTTTGATATTCGACAGCAATAACGGCGTTGATTACTTAAAAAACTTTTATCACGAAATATGAAATTTGTTATTTATGTCATAATGTCACATTATTTATCATTGTGAATTTATTTTTGAGAAGAATAGAGGTATTTTGAGTTTGCATTACTTTTTTGGACATTTTAAAAGTTTCATTCTTTTATTTTGTAGGTAGATATTTTTATGGCGGATGTGCCAGCATAAAATGAATTTATATAAAAATAAAATTGTTTGTCAAAATAAATTTTCTATCGTGAAATGGAGTTTATCTATTATTCTATATTATATTTATCTAATTATTATATATTACAATTATTAGATTAATTATTTATCTAATTGCTTTTTATTTCATATAAATTTGTGTATATCTAAATAATTATCTCGTAAGTTTCTTCCAGGTTGCTCTTATAAGTAGTAATTAAACGTGGGGATTAAAAAATAAAATGTTACAAAAAAATTCACTATTTTAATTTATACAATATTTATAAGCAATGTTTCCTTATTCCTAATCCTAATCTATCTAATTTAATAAAAAACTGACAGTTAATTATCATAATCATAGATAAGTAGGTACATTTTTAAAATTATTTATAAAAAAAAATAAATGTCTAGGTACAAATTTAAATAGGACAATAAAAAACAATGAACATTTCAGTTATTGCCACTGTCTCAAATGTCAATTGAATAATTTATACTCTTGAAGATAAATCATTAAAGTATTTTTGACAATATATAGTCATTTATTTACATATTAGTGGTTTTTTAATTCTGGCTAGACTTGAAGTACTTTACATTTTAATTACATACAACTCCTATGGACAGTTACGCAATACGTGTGTATTATGTACTCATTAATGCATTTAAAACTCCCGCCACTAATCCGAATTCCGAAACAACCAATGACAGCTCACTATTTAGTCTAATGCTTCTAGCGTCTTGTGTTTCAAAATATGCGCCCCGCTCCTATGTCTATTTTAGTTAGGGTTCTTTACTACTTTTTTAAAGTTATTTTGAGTTTTCAATAAACGTTTTACGATTCATTTTTCTATAACAAAAAAACTCTATGAAGCTCGTCAGAATTACAGTTTACCAGCGAACGACCGTTCTTCTAAGGGGGGGGGCAGCTGCCCCACCCTGCCCGTACCTCGCTACGCCAATGACCCTGTAGGTATATGTATATAGATAAATGCCGATATAAATCCAGATACTTGTGCCCAATCAAAACGTAGTTTAATGATGATATTGAAATCTCCTGAAAAATATACATGGCCTGTAAATAAAAAAGTTATCATTATGATTTTTCAATTTTGTAGAAAATATTAGTTTCAACTGACCTTTTTGTTAAAATCATATTGAAATGTTAACTAAAAATAAATGTTCACGGTTATTTCAAAAGTTGAGGAACAAAAAGCAATAAAATGTTATTAGTCAAAGAAAAAAGTAAACAGGGTGAACTTTTCTCAATGGCCATAAAAATGAAAATTTTTTCAATACGTCCTATAGTTTTAGAATTCTGACTTCAGAGTCGGTTGGTTTTCAATGAAAAAAGAGTATTTTTGGTGTACACCAAAAATTAATTAGCAGCAAAGTAAGTTTTAATAAAAATTACATATTTTAACCCACGTCTACAGATGAACCACATTTTTTTATTAACTATTCGAGAATGTGCCATTCTGATAAAATTTTCTTGGGCGGATTACGCCCGTAGTGTGTAATACTCTATTTGGAATGCAAACAAATCACATAATTATTGAAATGTTCCAATTTTTATATCTAATCGATACCATTGCCCGGGCAGAATCGAGTCGAGTTTGTAACCATAGCTACAGTGCGGTAGGTTAAGTGAACATCGCAGGAAAACTAACCAGGTCTGAATGACACCCAACACGCGTAACTAGTCAGAAATGGAAAACCTTTGCCGGTTTAAAAAGGTAACTTAATGTCCAGCTTGCCTCATTACTTACCTTGATTGCCCAAATCAATTAATTTAATTGCTTAATCCCAAATAAAGTTATCTTATCATGCAAATATCACTCTAGTCTCGATTGCGCTTTATTGTTGTGCATACGTTGTCTGTATACTGTTAATTTTCCTATAACTTTGATTTTTAGAGAATGGTTTATCCCGAAAAGTTAATATTAGACCAAGTAATTGGAAAAACCTCTGCTCATTCAATGTCTTCTTGGTGCAGTGAACCTTTGGAAAGCAATAGCAATAATATCGATGTTACTGTTGGCTCGTCGAACAACTCTAATAACTACAATAATTATAATAAGCAAGATGGAATTACTTCTTCGTCGAATACGAATTCAAGCAGTTCTTCTTCTCAAACGTGAGTTTGTTAGATACATTTTTATTAACTGATAAACAGCCATCATTCATGTCACAGAATCATTTAAAATATCTACAAGGTGTTAATGAAATAAGTACTCAAAATTGGAGAGTATGTAACACATGTCAAAATATGTTGAAAACCTTAGTAGAGTTTTTGTCAGTGGCGGTCCCTAAGGCAGATACAGCCCCTTGAAGGGGTAACTCAGGAAACAGTTGTTATTGCATAATTTCAAAACGGTTTAATATTAAATCACCAAATTTTGGGGTTGTATTACTATTTATATGCTTAATATTCGGTATAATATACAAATCAAAATTTGCTACAGGAGTCTTAGAAAATATGAGACCATGGAGCAAATTCTACAATTTTTTTCACTTCCTGAACCGAAAATATAAAAATTTTTCATATTTTGCATAAAAAAGGTACTCTTGTTAGATTTTAATAGCAATAGCCGTTTTCTAGTAAAATCCATTTCAATAATTCATTACGTACCCAAAAATTCCTGCTGCAAAATAAATGTATCAAATTGTGCCACGAGAAAATTATTTTTGACACTTAACAGAGGTGTCAAGTATATGTCAATTACTGATTAGATTACCTACTCAAAATTTCAATCGAAGATATTGGAATTTGGGTACTGTAATAAACATAGAAGAAAATAAATTATTATAGGGCTACTATAGTACGATCGTAAACGATGCAAAGTAGAGCAAAAAATTGTCGGTCTTTTATCAAAGGAAAATCGTGTCATCATTTTTAGGAGGCGTAAGATGAACCGTTTCAAATTTAAAATGAAATTGAATGTAAAATCTGAANCCCAATGTGCGAAGGAGATGCCTTTGTTTTTCATTTTGTCCTTCATAAATATATAACTGTTAATCCATAATGCATAAAGAAATTATTCAATTTCCAAAACCCCCTATAAAATGTGTTGCACTGATTCCCTTGACAGGCAATGATTTATTACTTTGCATCGTATACGATCGTACTATAGTTTAGTTACAGACGAATCCGCGTGGATCACCTATCCGAAAGGAAAATTAAATAAAAATAGTAATTTTTCTCATGGCACAATTTGATATAATAATATGTATTTATTTTGCAGCTGGAATTTTTGAGTACGCAATGAATTATTGAAATGGATTTTACTAGAAAACGGCTTATGCTATTAAAATCTAACAAGAGTGCCTTTTTACGAAAATATGATAAATTTTCATATTTTCGGTTCAGGAAGTAAAAAAAATTGCGTACAAAAAAAATTATAAAATCTGCTTCATGGTCTCGCATTTTCTTACGCCCTTGTAACAAATTTTGATTTGTGTATTATACCGATTACTAAGCATATAAATAGTAATACAACTCCAAAATTTCGTGATTTAATATTAAACCGTCTTGAAGTTATGCAATAAAGACTATTTTCTGAGTTACCCCTTCAAGGGATCTCCGTTAGGGACCGCCACTGACAAAAACTCTACTAAAGTTTTCATCATATTTCGACATGTTTTACATACTCTCCAATTTTGAGTACATACTCTCCAATTTTGAGTACTTATTTCGTTAACACCTTGTATATTAACTTATTTACGTGAAAAAATATTTATTTTGAAAAATTTTCCATGGCGTTTGCGCTATTAGATCCACTAACAATTGACCGAACCATAGATTGATAAAGAATGCGGACAAATCTCTTTTATCACATAGCCGTATTTCTTCATTTGACAGTTGGTTATTATTGTTCCTCTTCAAAGACTGCATAGCTTCAAATTTCAAATTGGGTGAATCGAATTGAATTGAAATGTGTCAACCAGTCTAAATCTCCACGTTTGGTCGTTTTATTGAGACATCTTTAGAACGAAGATATTAGAATTGTTAGAATTAAAATTATTATTATTTTTTAATATTGATATTAAAATATTTGTAAATCAAACAAATAAAAAAAGGGGAGAAATTGATACAAACGTAAATTTGTGAATAAATCAAATTAAATTAAATAACATAAAAGTTATTCTTTCATATATGCTAATAAAAAGACGTATGTTGCTTACATCACAAATAGAATTATTAATATCGTAAGTCTATAGCACACATAAGACCGGTAATAACAATAGCACATATGAAACGATACACTATTACATCAATAAACTGTACCAACTAAAAGATTATTCCATAGACAGATTAATATTGTATAGGTAGTTTGATTTTTATTAAGACTTCTATTTTCCCTTCAGATTAAAATGGAAAGGTGATGAGATTTCATGTCAGATCTTTTGTTGACTGCATTATTTTTTTCTTTCGTCAAACATTTTCTTTAATTGTGCTGGTTCAAAATAAAAATTATATAAAATTTATCTACAGTATTTAGCAAGAACTGTATCATTACATTTTAATTTCTTAAGAGATGTAAAACGTTACGGCAACCCTTTTAGTGCTCATTGATTCGAGTTTTTAAAAAATAAGTAAAATTTTCGATTGAATTTGAACAAAGAAAAATAGGTTTTTTACATGTACTTACTTTTTATTAAAGATAACATAATTAAACCCACTTGTCTCAAAAATTCATTTGCTCAGAAAGGCTTCTTAATTATTATTTTGTAAAAAATGCAATAAATCTAGCTATCTGTGTATTATGCCACACATAAATATTTAAAAAAAAACTCGAATAAATAAGCATATTAAAAGTTGTCATGACATTTCAGATCGCTTAAAAAATTTAAAAAGTTGTAACACATCGCCTGCTGAAGGTTGTAATGTAGTCATACTTTACATAACGTCGTTGGCAATATAAGCACCAAAACTGCTATTTGAGTAATTTTTTAGGAAAGCAATATGAGAAAATTTTTTATGATATGTATATGGATATGGATATCTTAGTACTAATTATGTAATTGATGTGATGATTTCATTAACCTAAGGGTTTATTTCAAAAAGAGTGGTCTATTTTCTTTTTGCCGCTTACGCCCATTTGTAAGACCAACCACAATAATTTTTATTTTGAACCACGTTGATATAGAGTAAGCAACATAATCAGATGAAAGATTATTTGACGAAGAGAGAAAACAATGCAGTCAACACATTGAAAGATTCGACATTGAAAATCTCTTATTTTAGTTTAATAGGGAAAATGAAGAACTAATAAAAATCATACTTTTTTTACTATATTAAATACTTTCCCTATAGAATAATCTTTTAGCTGGTACAGATTACTGATGCGAGGGTGGTTCTATTGTTATAGTTGAAAATTTTTACATAATACTTAATATATCCTACCTACTATATTTTCTCATATTTGTTATTGTTATTACTTATTATGATGTGGGTTCTGAGACATCCCTCCTTATTGTTTCTTTATTTTATTTAAATAAATATTTAATACCGCACCGCCATTTGCACTTTTCTAAACATTGTCTAAATTAACCCGACACGGCGCGACCGTTAAGTCGCTGGCGCATTTGCCTACCTAGCAAATTAGAATCTAAATACTCAGCCACCAGCCAGAGCGAACAATCGAGTCTGTCACCAGCCCCAGCAGTAGAAATGTCACCGTTGGATGTAAGCAAGATTGTTACCAGTCCAGTTTGTGACGACTGCGCAGCCGCCACCGTTCGCCGTAGGAACTTGGTAGTCGAGCTAAGTTTGAAAATTTAGTTCATCTCCACCCGTCGCAGCGAGTCGTCCAGTCGGCCAATAACAGGAAGATCGATAAGTCGTAAGATTATCCTAAGTCCCACTTCTGAGGACTGTATAACCTCCAACGTTCACCATAGAAGCCTGGAAATTAGGTTGAGTTGGAGATTCAGTTCATGTCCACCTATAGCAGCAAGTAGTCCAGTTCGTCAACACCGAGGATCGCCGAAGTAAGTTAGGTTCTTGAGGTGATATGAGCATTGACGGCAGTGTCTTTAACTTTGTGGATACATATATCCGTAGATCCACGTGAAAATATCCGACAAAATCCGTAGCATAAATTATAAAATCTGTAAAAAATCCGCAAAAATGAAATACGAAATTCTTAGAAATTATTTATTTTCCTTCTGAAGTGGATGTTTAAATGTTCTACAAGATTGTTACTATAGTAATAAATACTCCGGGCTTCTCTTTAAATGTAAGAAAATTTATCTTGGAACGATCTAAAACTCTCCTAATTGTGGGCAATGTTATTTGGACAGCAGTCTTGTCAAAAATGAGCAATGGCTATAGATAAAGCATAGAATATAGAATAAAATTTAAAAAGTTGCATTCTTTTCCTTCAATTGGGTTATTTAAGAAAGGTTGACGTAGTTCCGAATTATGTAGTTTTACTAGAGTGGGTGTGCGCGGATTATTGTGGAATCGGCCGATCATGTTTTTTGATCACAGAGGTCTACGCACATGAACCGATTGGTCAGATACATATAACTACACAATTGATGACTTAGCCTATTATAAATTCGTCCATGCGCCCCTAACCATAACTGCCGTTTAGATTCAAGGACATTTACAAATATCGAACTAAATTAAGAATGACAACACGGACAAATTTATTAAAACGATAAAAAATCCGTAGATTTATCGTATTTATCGGAAAATCATTTTAAAAATCCGTAGATTACAAACGCTACGATTTATCGTTACTGCAACAGTTTCGACCAGTTCGCTTGATCGCTTCTTCCCCTCCTCCCCACCCCTGGTATCTGCACCACGCTTGTTGTAATATTCACTTGCTTGTTATGTACCACCTTTGACTAGTGTATATAGTCAAGATACCACTAACTCTGTTGTGCTTTGCCTTCAGTCAGCCGCTTAACAACGTAGTCGCTTGTCGCCGTCTAACCGTAACTTTATAATAGTTTAGACTGTATATCGAGTAACCCTTAATAAATGTAAATACTTACAAATTGTGACTTTATTTTTGTGACTTCTAACTCTCTCTAGACCCCTAGACATACTGTGTTTTCACTGTAGCTGCCTGAATAGTGGTGTTTGTGCACTGCAAAAAGGAACTGGCACCTGAGGCAACCGTCATCTCTCAGGCGTCATGGTGACAGACGCACTTCGATGCCGACGAACGAAGTGATAATAATGTCACGTACTTAATAATAATACCGAAAACCTATTTCTGAAGAAAGTAACATACTTTTTTATTTGTTTAATTTATATAAATATTTTAATGTGTTTAAAAAATATAATATTATTTCTGTATAACATTTGTATTGCAACATATTTGTTTTATTTAAGACTCCTGATGGAGATGTCTCAGTAAGGAGCCGAAACGTCGATATTCAGAGAATTGTATTTTCTTAAATTAACGTTTGATCAGAAATTCCATCATACTACTAATTGTTAAATTAAAACATGTTATTAGGTCTGCCAATCGGCAATTCATTCAAGACAGAATTAGACATCTCGTAGACGCCTTCTCAACAAGGGCTCAAGCTGCCAGGGAACGGATCGAAACCCCTGCGACCCCGTCGTCGATAAGCAGCCGGGAAACAGTAGAACCGACCCCTATTCCTCTGAAACCTAAGCTGAGCATCTCATTTTCCGACAAATATATCGAAGAGGTGCCCCAGACAAAGCTAGAAAAAGCCTCGTTCCTTACGACATTCCTAGATAGGAAGATAATCGACCCCAATGGCAAAATTTATGTGACGTGGATGTCAGTAGCTGCCATGGCCGTGTTGTACAATGCCTGGGTTATTCCACTTAGAAGCACGTTTCCCTACCAAACGGTGGACAGTAGGCCTATATGGATGACCTTTGATTATTTGGCGGATTTGGTATATCTTATCGATATGGTTTTGGTCCAACCGAGGGTGAAATATGTGAACGAGGGGTTCTGGGTTACTGATATAAAACTACTGAGGCAGAATTATATTAAACATAAGCATTTTAAGGTAAGTGGGTTTCCTAATCATCGATAGTGTATTTGCTAAACTAAAATGTAAACCGTGGTACATTTTAATGTGATGGATATTTAATATTATTAAATGCCCTACGACTTGACCTGCTCGATATAACTTGTTAAATGTTATTTTCATAATGGAAAACGGAAAATGAAGATGCTGTACTTACGTAAATGTGATTAGTTTTAAAACACAAAGTGGTAAAATTTCAAATAAAATACCAAATTTCAAAACATACGACTTAATAATTATTATTTACCTTTTTTTTTACTTTTCTATTAAAAAAAAATAGTCAAGTTTTAGGATCTGTTTTGCGAAAAGACAATTGATTGTTGCATTTTGAAAATATAAACTCAACTTTTTTTTTTAATGAAATTGTATACTTTTCATTTTTTTGGATTTTTTTCTTTTTTTATTACATTTACATATACAGGGTGATCCATTAACAATGGGAAAATCGAAAGCTGAAGATTCTACACGTGAAATGGTGACCATTGGCGCAAACATGCCTTATCCGAAAGTTGATAGTTTCGGAAATACAGTGCGTTGCAAGTTAAAATTTTAAATCGCTTTTTTGCGATTATTCTGAAAATATGTAGGTTAGGAATTTGAAAATTTGTGAAACCATATTTTTTTAAGCGACGAATAAGATGCGTGTTGCAATTTCAGCGTTGCTCATAGAGGGCGCCACTTACGAACAATTTTACCGAAAATTTTGTTAATAACTTTTTACCCTGTATGTCTAATATGAAACTTGATTCAAAACCTGAAAGAGCAATGATTTTTCCATTAATTATGTAGTCTTGTTTCATTTCGGTATCTCGATCCGTTTTCGAGAAAATTCGATTTAACGAACACTATGTTTTGATAATACGAGAAATTAAAAGCGAACAAACTAAGTATTTCTTCATGTTATTACAACAATTATCGATAAAACAAATGAAATACGTAATAATGATTTAAAGTAATTGTCCAAAGAATCCACCGTTGGCAATGATACACTTTGCACAACGTTTTCTGAGAGATCTCATATTGGGATTGCGTCTTATTTCGTTGGCAGCGATTTGTATTCTTTCCCGCAACTCTTCATGCGAACCAATAGATTCTTTGTAAACTATATCTTTCATTCGAGACCAAATAGAAAAATCAAGAGGATTGAAGTCTGGACTTCTGGGTGGCTAAGCAAAAATACTACCATGGTTTTACTTTATTTAAGAAGAGACATGTGGTTCATGCACGATGGAGTTCCACCGCATTTTTCTCGGTCAATGCGTACATATTTAGATGCAGTTTTTCCAAATCGCCGGATTGGCCACGTAAGCATTTTTGCTTGGCCACCCAGAAGTCCGGACTTCAATCCTCTTGATTTTCCTAATATATATTTCAAGGCACGCCCTTGTCGCGGTAAATTGTAACAGTTGTTTATTGGTTTATTGGCAGAACTTTATTGGCTTATTCTTTTCTTGGAATTCTATTGTACGGACTGTACTAATTCGTTGAATATTTTATCTCTTACGTCATATAAATTATTAGATTTCTCTTTGTTTACTTTATCTTTCAGAATCTCGGATCTAGATGGAGATCAAATTAACTTCTTCGGGATAAAATGACAGAGAAAAATATATTTAAAAAAATCCTTTGTCTAGAACGCAATGGGGTATACAATACACCTTCTATAGAAAGTATATTTCTCTTAATAAAATATTAAAATATGTGTTTAGTAGATTTAATTGCGGAAATGCATAAATATGCACTGGTTCCATGGCAATCTTTATTCCACGATGACTATATCGTGGAAGGTCAGTAAATAAATCACGCTAAATAGAAAAATTACGGCACTCGAAAAGGCGACAAATATACAGTTTAATTTCAAAAAACAAAAATTGAGCTTATATCCTTGCATTGCTAGAGTCAGTTGTTTTTTTTAAACTTTACCATAATTTCCTAGATAAAAAGGTAAAAATATAAGGGGATAGGGGATATGTGAATAATCCTGTAAGTCAACAAATGCTAATCATATAAAAGCAGTTTTATTATTTTTATATGATAAGATTATTTATAGCATACCTCATATCTACGCCGCTGGTTAACAACTTTCTTTCTTTTTCACATTTCATGTTGCTTTTCTGATATGACCAATATATAAAAATTGTCATATCCGGTTAAAAAATACAGTGTGTTTTTGTAAAAACAAAGTTTTTACCTCTGAAAAAGATAATATTTGGTACGATTTTGTGAGCACTCTGTATGACAATTATAAACAGTGACCACTGTTTACGGTGGACCTAGTACAATGTATGAGAGGATTGCTTAGATTAAATCTCAAAAAAAGAGTATATCAGTAACGATCAAGTGTAACGCCTAAAATGTCATTTTTTAAATTAAAATATTAATATCTCGGATTTTTGGTACATATTACGAAAAAGTTGCATAATTCCTTATAGAATATAAATATCCACTCAAATACAGGGTGTTCCATTTTAAAAAATACAATTTTGGTCAACTTTCCGAAAACGAATATCGCCCTGTATAAGTCAAATTATTTTTAAAATGTGCATTTCTTTCCGCTCCATCCGAAACTATTTTGAAATATTTCCTCAATTATATTCTAGCGATAAATCAACTTTGCCACAGCGTTGACTCACACTCTACAGCAAAATGGACTGAATAAAAAATTTGTAAATGTTGATAAATCTCTTCACTGATTTTAAAAATTAATTATCTCTTCAGGGTAGCAGAAATAACCAACTAAATAAAAAAAACCCAAAAAGATGCCAGAATAAATATTTACAGACTATGGTAAAATTCCCATATGTTGTACATACTTGATGACTTTGTGTGAAAGTATTTGTTTCTTGGTGATGGTGGTGAAATAGGCAATTCAATTTTTAAACGTCATGATCGAAACCTCATAATATTAGAAATACTTTAATAATACTTTTACTTGTTTTGGTATGCAACCTCTTACTGGCGTCAAGCATAATGGGTACCGAAAAGTCTAGAATGCGCTACACAACGTTAAACAATACAATACAATTCCTACTTATGTAGGTACGCAAGGGAAGACGTCAAATTATGACCAAATGTGTCTTATTCGAATATTACTCCTTTTTGTTCTACACATTTTATCTTATCAGATATGTAGGTATTTTACCACGTGGTTTTCTCTGTGTATAAACAATAGAGCTGAAGATGAACTCAGAGAAAGAATTGAATCCATGTTAAAAAATTAATGAACACAAATAAGGGCACAAGGATCCAAAGGATCCTTGTGCCCTTATACCCAAAAGGATACCCAAAAGGATCAGTCAAGAGTTATTTTTATAAAATTAATTTTGTCTAATCAAAAATTTCACAATGAAAAAAGCAGGAAAAAATACACTAATTTATCTTATTAATTTATTATATATAATTATTCAAAAAATACAATAAACTTCAGCAAATATTTTATTCTTTTATAATAAAATATATGATGTCAGTTATTGTTAGTGACACTTATGTGGACAACTCTGTCTTTATGGTATATACTACGTATGTACTACTTCAATTCTTAACATTTTAGACACCAAAAGGACCCCGCACAAAATGAATGGAAATTGGGTCCCGCTAGATTTGGCTGGAATTGTGATGTTATAATTCTCGACATTCTGAAGAAAAGTTGTCACGGGCCCAAAGTGATCCTATGGATAGTTTCAAAGATATAGAGGGGGGAAGTGTGTGATTTTGGCTGTAGGACTGAGTAAGCTTTACGAAGTTTCAAGTTGATGGATTCAAAAACTGAGGCATGTAATGAATTTTGACCAATAGATACAATGCTTTTGGGATGGCTGAACCTGAATTCTTGGATAACTTAGCCATCTAAGGTCACCTGGAGATCAGATAAAGGTCGTTTCAAGGTCAAACTGAAGAAAAGACTTGTACTGAATTTTGACCAGTGAGTGTATAGGTTTTTGGGCTCGCAGAATCTGAGTCTGGAAATAGCGTAACCCTAAAGGTCACCCTCAAGTGAATTGAAGGTCATTTCAAGATGAAACTAAAGAAAAGGCGGGGCTTAAATTGAGATTAAGTCAAATGAAATGACCTTGACTTGATTTCCAGGTGACCTTATAGGGCTAAGTTATCCGCAAATTCAGGTTCAGCGACCTCAAAAGCATACATACTTACAGGTTAACATCCGTGAAAGGCTTTTTCTTTACTTTGACCTTGAAATGATCTTGACTTGACCTAAATGTGACCTTGTAGGGCTAAGCTATCCCCAAATTCAGTTACTCTCCTCAAAAAACTTATATACGCACTGGTTGAAATTCAATACAAGCCTTTTCTTTAGATTCATCTTGAAATGACCCTGAATTGACTTGAAGGTGACCTTTAGGGTTACGCTATCTCCAGATTCAGATTCTGCGAGCCCAAAGACCTATACACTCACTGGTCAAAATTGAATACCAAGTTTTTTTTCTTCCGTTTGACCTTGAAACGACCTTTTCCTGACCTCCAGGTGACCTTAGATAGCTAAGCTATCCAAGAATTCAGGTTCAGCGATCCCAAAAGCATTGTACCTACTGGTCAAAATTCATTACATGCCTCAGTTTTTGAATCCATCAACTTGAAACTTCGTCAAGCTTACGCAGTTCTACAGCCAAGATCACACACTTCTTCCCTCTATATCTCTGAAACTATCCATAGGATCACTTTGGCCCGTGACAATTTTTCATCAGAATGTCGAGAACTATAACATCACAATTCCAGACAAATCTAGAGGGACCCAATTTTCATGCATTTTGTGCGGGGTCCTTTGTATTATTTTATTTAAATTGAATAAAAAATAGGCTCACCTGTATTATCCTTTTTGCCAACAGTACAGATATCAACTTGTACTTCTACATACTTGAGTACCTCTTTTACTAGACAGAGATATACAGGTGCGTTCCAAAGTAAACAGGACTTTTAAAAATAGGTATTTCTAGTGAGGCCATCTATTGACTATTGCCAATGACATGTGTTGGAAAGGTAGATCCTTCTCTGATATGCTGTCAAAATTTCATAACATTTGGACAAATAGGAAAAGATGCAGAGTTATTGCGTCTGAATTGACAGTATGTTTGTGTCATGTAATGTTGTTTTGTTTTAAACTTAGTAAAACCTCTACTGAAACGTTTCTATTGATGAACCAAGTTTATGGTGATGATTGTTTATCCTGTGGCAGAGTTCATGAGTGGTATACGTTTTTTAAAAACAGTTGAGAGGACATAAATGATGAGCAACATGTTGGCCTACCGAAATCCGTGATCACCGCAGATTCCATCAAAATTGTGCGCGAATTCATTAAAGATCAGCCAAAATCTTCATTGAAATTCTTGGAATTGAAATTAAGCATCCCAAAAACATCAATTTATCACGTTTTGGCCGAACATTTGGGTTACCGAAAAGTGTGAGCATGGTTTGTTCTGCACAGTTTCAGAATTCAACAATAGAAGGACATCATTGAGGAGGCCAAAAAAAAAACAAAACCTTTCTTTACAGCATTGTGACTAGTGATGAAATCTGGTGTTTTCAATATGATCCAGAAATCAAGCGCCAAAGTGTCGAGTGAAAGGCGCCAAACGAGCCGAAACCCAAAAAATCTCCTTTGGAGAAGTCAAAAGTGAGGACAATGTTGATTTGCTTCTAAGGGCATTGTCCACAGAGTTCATTCCACCACGTCAAACCGTTAATGCATAATTTGCAAATTTGAAGCGTTTGGTGCATTGTATTCGGCCACAATGTCTCGCAAAAGGAAGTTGGCGTTTGTTGCACGATAATGCGCCATCTCATCGATCGACACTTGTGACCGATTTTTGACTTTAAGTGACATTTTAACTGTGAGCCACTCACCGTATTCACTTGATTTGGCACGGTGCGACTTTTACTTTTTCGGAAAAACGCATTAGCCGATGAAAGGAAAGCGTTCTGCGGACGGAGAAGCCATCCGAAAAGTTTTTATTGACATCCTGAAGGATATCTCGGCTGACGATTTAAAACACTCATTCAACATGCTTTTAGACCGATCGCTGTATTGAGTCAGAAGGGGACTATTTTGAATAAAATAAATCGGTTTTGCCAAAAAACTTTTTGTTGTTTTTATTTTTTTAAAGTCCTGTTTACTTAGAGACGTAGGTACCTTGTATGTTACACGCCCATAATGATACACCAAGTAATACTATTTGCGAGTAATAAATTCAGACCTCATAAAAGTGATAAATTCGAATACTAATACTATTAAATTAAAGTATTCAATACTAATTTGTACTTGATTAATACTCAGCTCTACGAGTAGAGATTTTTTTCCACTTTTGGATAAAACGTACATTCTTATGTGGATAAACATGAAGGTGATATTTCGTCGTAAAAATTAACACTTCTGTATAATGTAATTTTATTATAGGTAGATTGCAATAATTGGAAATTCTGAATATGAATTACTTGAATGCCGTAGTTTTAGATTTGCTTTTATGAAACAAAACATTTTTTTGTTAACTTGTACGTATAAAATTATGATTATATCTGTATTTATTTACTTACGGGTTGGAAATAATTCTACGTAAAAAAACTATTCCAGGATACCTAATTAGCTCAAAATCTTAATCACATTCAATCCGCTTTCAGATATAGATAGCTGTTTACGCACTAGCCTCTATATACCCATTATCAGAGATGCGACGTGTTTGCGTAAATAATCTATAGATCAACAAGTTCTAAACCTTTAATTAATAGCTCTCGTCTCTTGTAAACAAAAGCCACCTGCTAATCTCTATATTTTTATTACAGCTGGATTTATTATCTCTCTTGCCGTTAGATTTGTTCTACTTTATTATGGGCCCAGAATTTGTAATATTGCGGTTTCCGAGGTTCTTCAAAATGCACACGTTCTGGGAATTCTTTTGTTTCGTGGATAAGCTTTTGGCGAATCCCTACATAATAAGGATAACAAGGACCCTCCTTTACATGATGTACTTGATTCACTTGAACGCTTGTGCATACTATGCTTTCTCTGCTTGGGAAGGAATTGGAAGCAATAACTTCGTTTTCAACGGAAAAGGAAACGCGTACATAAAATGTTTTTATTTTGCAACTAAAACAGCTACCTCGATTGGTAAAAATCCCAAGCCTACTCAGGAGATAGAGTACATGTTCATGACCTTTTCGTGGTTGATGGGAGTATTCGTTTTCGCGTTACTGATAGGACAGATTAGGGATATCATTTCAACTGCGACTAGATCGAAGACCGAGTATAGAAAACTAGTAGATGAAACATTGGAGTATATGAGAAGACTGAATTTACCACAGGATATGCAGAGAAGAGTTCAGCTTTGGTTCAATTATACTTGGGAAACTCAACATACTCTAGGTATTATATTTAGATAATGGTTCTTTAAATTAATAATCGATTTTAGTCATTGAATTATGTTAATGAAGGCGGCAACGGAGGCGGATTCGAGAAACCAATTTTTACAGTGTTCGTTATTGGTGATAATCAAATATTGAAATAATGAAATATTTCAAATATATGGAACAAAAATGCAGGACATATGAAGATAAAATTACTTTTGCTTTTTTTTTAAAAATGCATAATTTTTATAACTTAGCGTCAGACAAAATTCAATCGATTTACCACATCCCTAGAGCTAAACAAGTAATATTCACTTGTTTTGGGCTAAACGGATTCAACCCATCTATCTAGTCCATTGAAATGTTACATTCTTTTGGGCTTAGCGTGCAAAAGTCAGAGCACGCAATCTTATTTTTTAGATGTTAAGAGGGGGTTAGTGTAAAGTTAAATTCATGTTTGTGGGGTCGCTACCCTTGTGCATCGGCCGCCATCTTGTAAAAAGAGCTGCGAATGGTTTTTATACTACTACTTACTATATCGGGCAAACTATTCGTCGCACAGAAAATTTGTACACACATTTTATTGCAAATTAAATTCTCTACAAATTTGGTTCCGTAACTTTTAGTCGTAGAACTAAAAATAACAAAGTTATTAACGAAAATAGATAAAAATTTTCTTTTGGTCGTTATAACTTTTTTCTTTTCATTTTACAAAAAAGTTACATCAAAGCATTTTGATAGAGGGGTTTTCAAGGAATAATTTCCATTAAAAACTTTTTTCAAATTTGATTTATTTACAACGATGCGAAACTTACAATATTCTCGAGTACTAGTAAGTATACATTAATATGAATGATTAGGCATAGTTTTCTCTCATCTTTCCATTATTTTTATAAGAAACATTTTAATGATTGGCATTGCAATGTTGTTAATTAGTTATTTACTCTTTTCCCCACCCCCTACGAGGTAGAGTTTGGTGGCGCGTTATTTTTTACGTCGTATCCCTAGTAGGCAGAATCCACGGACATTTTCTAGCTGACATAATAATTAGTGTAATTAAAAATATCGAAATATATTTCCCAATCTACTGTCCTCAGTCTCTTTGATAGGCCAGGCTGCGACTCAGGAACTGGTTGAGCTTCCAATATTGAATTGTTGAGGAAGGATGGAGAATGAAGTGGCGTCATTGTTGACAGTTCATCTTTAAAATCATTCTCCTCGATCAATTTTGATATGTCCATTATGTTGCTGCATGTCTCCCCAGAACAATTCAGGTACACTGTAGAACATTTGAAGCCTGTCTTCCGACATCCACGCATTGCTCCACAGTTTCCTTTGCATCGGCAGAATATCAACTTTAGAAGCTCAGGTGGTGCTGGAGGTTTTGAACTTTGAACAGGCATCAATATTTGTCCATACTTTTTCCAGACCCAGTCTTGAGGGTCGTTGTAATTCCCGAGCCACGACTGGACCTGATGATAGACTCGGAGGCTGTGCAAGCGGGCTGTGTCTTGTGTTGGAGGAAGTGAAGACAAATTAAATGTATTCTTTGTCACTGACTTGGCGAATCGTTTATATCTAAGACTGTCAAGAGAATCATCATCTTTATTGCCACCATATAAAGAGATGAAAAAACGTTCGCCAACGGCAGTGAGCAAAGTAGGGTCGACTCTCTCATTGAGGAATAACGCTGTTCCACTAGCTAACTCAGGACGTGTCTCCAGGGTTGTGAGAAATTTCATTTTACCGATGTTGTAAGCTGCTGAAGTCGTGTCACATCCTGAGAAGGCATGGAGAAACAACAGATTATCCACAATGACGTCTCCGTACATAAAACTTGACGGACAATATAATTGTTCGGCTGTACGTCCTTTTGATGGTTTAAAAAAAATACATTTGAATGTGTTCTTCCAAATGCCGTGAGCAAGACAAGAATGTCGATATCTTCGGCGACAATAGTGACTGAGTCGAACGATTGGGATGCAGCAAGAGCGGAGCGAACGATGAGGGTATCTGCATCTGATTCTGCTTGGTCGACACTGAAACCCACCTCTTGTCCACAAAATTCAAAATAGTGTCCACAAAACTCAAAATACTTTTCACAATTAAATACGTCACGCACGCACGTGGTAGCACAACTGGAAGAAAACTTTGAAGGACACCTCCTATGCCTAATCATTCATATTAATGTATACTTACTAGTACTGGAGAATAGTGTAAGTTTCGCATCGCTGTAAAACCCTAATAAATAAATAAAATTTGAAAAAAGTTTGTAATGGAAATTATTCCTTGAAAACCCCTCTATCAAAATGCTCTGATGTAATTTTTTTGTAAAATGACCAGAAAAAAAGTTATAACGACCAAAAGAAAATTTGTTCCCAAATTTTTATCTATTTTCGTTAATAACTTTGTTATTTTTGGTTCTACGACTAAAAGTTACGGTACCAAATTTGTAGAGAATTTAATTTGCAACAAAAAATATGGTTACAAATTTTCTGTGCGACGAATAGTTTGCCCGATATAGTAAGTAGTAGTATAAAAACCATTCGCAGCTCTTTTTACAAGATGGCGGCCGATGCACAAGGGTTGCGACCCCACAAACATGGATTTAACTTTACACTAACCCCTTCTTGACATCCAAAAAATAAAATTGCGTGCTCTGATGTATTTTTTTTGTAAAATGACCAGAAAAAGAGTTATAACGAGCAAGAGAAAATTCGTTCCCAAATTTGTATCTATTTTCGTTAATAACTTTGTTATTTTTGGTTCTACGACTAAAACTTATGGAACCAAGTTTGTAGAGAATTTAATTTGCAACAAAAAATATGATTACAAATTTTCTGTGCGACGAATAGTTTGCCCGATATAGTAAGTAGTAGTATAAAAACCATTCGCAGCCCTTTTTACAAGTTGGCGGCCGATGCACAGGGGTTGCGACCCCACAAACATGGATTTAACTTTACACTAACCCCTTCTTGACATCCAAAAAATAAAATTGCGTGCTCTGACTTTTGCAACCCCAAATGTAACTTTTCAATAGACTATTCCCTACCCATGTCAGACTATTATGACAACCAGTGATGTCACAAAAATGACTTTAAGACCGTCATCGTGAAAATTTTCCACAGTAGACTTATCCGTTTACATCCGTTTACACTGTCTTCGGAACTGAAAGATGGTGAGTAAAAATCCGCAAAAGGAGCAGTATTCTACCATGTCCACATCGTTGTCTCTGGGTAACGCCAAGAGTAGAACTAAACTGGCAGTCAACAAAAGGTTTTTAACATTTATATGAGATTTACTCTAATGGAAGAAATGCCGTTGAGAAAATAGCAAAACCCCAAGTTTAGTTTCTCCCTGTCCGCTTCAGTTTGCGTTTGCCTGACGGAGCTTCAACTTTGTTTTACCAGCTAGAACTTCTGTTAGAGAGCTTCCATGTCTGAGCTTCAGTTTGAGTTTCCCTGTCCAAGCTTCAGCCTGATTTTACCTGATTGAAAAGTTGGGTGCTTCAACCTGGGTTTGGCAGCCTGAACTTCTGTTTGAGATAAGAATTTCATGTCTGACCTTCAGTTAGAGTTTCCTTGTCCGAAGTTTAGAATTAGTTTTCCTGTCACAGGTTCAGTTTGAGATTTTCTGGACATGATTTAATTACACTCTACCAGTCCGTTATTCAGATTGAGCTTGCTTGTCCGAGTTTAGGTTTATCGGAGCTTCAGTTTGAGTTTTCTGGCATTCCTGTCTGTTACAATAGTTGGATGTGATTATGGGGATGGGTATGGGAAGATGGGCGTTTGGTCCAAAATCAACTGAATATTACTTGTCTGGCCTAAAAAACATTTTCTGCCACTACCGGTCATAGTAGTTGAAAGCGAGTCGGTTTATGGGGGGGGGGAGTGATATAGGGGGAAGTGGATGATGGGGTGTGTGGCCTTAAGCTATAAAAATCATGTATTTATTGTATTTTTCCAATTTCCTCCTTCATTTGCCACAAATTATATTTTTACATTTTTCACAAGTTATTCATATTCAAAATCAAACGTTTTTTCAATTCAATCTTAAGATTAGATCAAATATTATGGCACGCAATAAAATTTAATAACTTTCTAGTCTAGCGAAACCCTTAATACCTTCCCATAACTAAAATCGGGCTTAAAATTTGTGATTCACGAAACGGTTTTTAAACGAAAACAAATAAAATCGGAGAATAGGGGGTCAAACGATAATAATTTCTGTTTTGAAATTTAAAAAAATCATAGTTTTTCTGTGATTATAGATATCCTAAAAAAGAATCTATACTTCATAAAAGAAAATCAATATATGAGGAAATAACAAATTAAATAAATTTAAAGATATATCTGTTGAAGATTTTCACTATTTTCATTATTCCCATCATATAATTATAATGTTCTGAAACTGTCGCAATTCATTAAAATAATAATACAAATACTATAACAGTCCCATCTGCTTAACAAGCCAGTTTGAGTTGAGTAGTAATAGTTTTCCACGATTCTTGAGTAATACATTCTATTATGCATTAGTCAACTGATAAACACGTATTCTCATTATTTTTTATGCATAATTCAGAGGCTCTGGCCAATGAGGAATCCTTAGTTAAACTCAAAGGGATTATCCTGACGGAAAAAATTGTGCTTTCATCTCTGCCGGAAAAAATTCAATTGCAGTCTGAGCAATAACATCCAAATCAAGGAAATGATGAATAAAAAGTATCTGCCATGGTTGAATTTTAAATGGGCCAGTGTGTCTGCGTCCATAAAGAAATCGTCAAACGGCAGGTTGTATAAGGAAAAATGGAATAAGATGTTTCCTTGGATTACTGAAAGATAAAAATTTAGATAGTGTTTTGAAATATCAGCAAAGGTGCTGTTGAATCCAATCCTTCAATTCCTAATTCTAATTGTAAGTTTATGTGATAAAGATTCGGATTCATTTGTTCAAATTGAATTTAGCAAATGGCAAAAAGCTATCGACCGTTTTAAAATTTACGAAAAAGGGGCACTACGTCGTTCAGCCATAAATATTACTTCCTCTTTGAAAAAGGAACAAATGCCTTATTTCGAATAATAAATTCCAAAAAACGTTATAAATATATAAATTTATTTTTTTTGGTATTTATCGAATGGATATTTCATTTTTTATAAAATTTATGTTGTTTTGGACAAAAATATAAACGTGAAAAAATTATATATGTACTATATGTACCCCTACTCAAGTAAATTACTGTTTTAAATCTTGATCTTAGTGTTTTTTTAATTTATGAGCACCCTGTATATGTAATCTAAGATGATTGTATGACAGTCTCATTTTTTCGAGGGGCAAAACTTTTTATAAAGAGTGACATTTTTCGATAAAGTCAAAAACAAAAGAGTTTCTCCTCTTGTCAACTCCATCCGTGGACATACATTATTAATAAACTTTATTGTACTTAAGGACGTTCGATACACCTCTTACGGGGCGGGCGGTGCGGAGAGTATGCCTATGTTTATACACGGGAGTCTTGTTGCAGTACCAACCTTACATAAATTAATTTCAGCGAACTAAGTATGCTATTTAGAATGAAATTTATACAACACATATTAGCTTGCATATTTTTTTCGTGTTTAATACACGTCAGTTCACTTTTTATTTGAATAAAAGCGTCTATTTATTCATTACGAGCTTGTAAAATTATGGATGAAATCTGGCAACATTGCCATGGCGTGGTGGTAAAAGTTGGGTCAACTGTCATTACTGTCAACTTTGCGCGAATTCCGTAAACATGAATGAACAACCAAGGTACAAAGGAAAAGTAATGACTGAAAAGTAATATAAAATGAGTGTAAAAGAGAATGTGGATTGATGAGAATAAAATAAAATGTGCAAACCGAGAATCCATATGATAACTATCAAGAAGTTCAGTGTATGATAGTGAGACGTCGACTTGTCAAATTGAAGATTATGACATAACATCTATACTGTTCGTTTTGCAAAGAGATCCTTTCAATTTTTGTTTCAAATTGCTAGTATATTGCTTTAGATCACGAAAAATTTATTTAATATTAATTATTACTACATATATTTTCGACTGGAATAATTTTATAATCTATAATTGAGCTATTCAAATATAACGCATCAGTCCAAGCATTAAATACAGCGTACAGTGTTGCCATATTTCCTTTCATTGGATCAGATGTTTGTTCAAATTTGTCAAAACGTTATCTATTCATTCCATTATCTCAATAATTACATTGTAAGTGCATATTTTTATTGTTTTAAAATGTTTAGTAATATTTAATTCTTTAATTACAATTTTATTTTCCCGATCCTAACCATTTTTAAGAGCAATATTCACGTTTGATTAAAGTTTTTTCCCAACTCCCATAAGAGCCTGTGTAAAAGAGCATAATTTTTAAATTCATTTTTCAAAAAAACTACGTTGTCAATCGATCTGATATTTTTACACAAGTCAGTTTGCATATTTATTAACAGATTTCAATTGCTTTGAAAACATTCTTACCATTTTTCTTTTGGTATCGAACCTCCTTGAATTCTCAAGTTTTTACTAAATTATTTTATTAAAAAGTAAAAGAAGTCAAAAAATCTTATGTTTTGCTTTCTTTAAAATTGCTTATTAACGATTTTTTGCATAAAATTTTCCTTTTACATTTTTTAAATAAGCCATTTCGATGAGAAATTCAATTCTCTACAAAATTTTTCCTATGAACTATATCGAAATTTTGCTTCGTTTTCGTGGTATATTTAAAAAACTGCAAAAGTGTTTTTTCACACTTATCTTCAATTTCAACCCTCTAATTTAATAGCACCTCGCGGTTTTTTCATTTTTAATGACCCTTCGAACAAGTCATGTGATGAAAATCCTTGAACGTCTTGTTTCCTTCCTTTTTTGCAAAAAATGAGAATTAAAACATATAAACATATAAACGCGACGAAAATCGAAAAATTGACTAAGTTTGAGCGACTATATATCTGTCAATTTTCATCCAAAAATACTCTACAGCCTCTTGTTTTGAAGGAAATTTTATATACTTTTTTTTTTGAAGCAATGCCTATACCTATCTCTGCTCAGAAAAAAGTTATTTGCATAAAAGTAAAAAAAAAACAAAAAATTGATTTTTTTGCATTTATTTTGTTAAATTGTTTTTAATATATTTTCGATAGAACATCTCATTATCTACAAAATTTTTCCTATACAATACCCTCAAATTTTGCTTCGTTTTCGAGATATACTCAAAAAACCGTAAGGGTTGCATTTTCACCCCTATCTCCAATTTCCAATTTTCATTTAACTCCGCGTTTTTTTCTTTCTGAATAACCATTTGAACGATTCATTCAATAAAAACCCATCAACGTTGTAGTTTCTTAGTACCCTGATTTTTAAGACATAATCAATAAGCCTATAGCGGCCCGTTTCATAATTTATTAAAAAGTCCTTAAAATATTTTAAATAAGTAAAATTCACTACCAATTAACATTTGTCAGAATTTTGTTTAACGAAGTGATTACGGTTTAACTGTTGATTATCATGAAAATTTTAACCAGCTTCTGGATTATCAAAGCTAGAAGTTTCTTATTGTCTAGATGCCCTGAGTTGTGAGAAGAAAGATAATGAGAATGTTTGTTTACCAATTCGCAAATGCATATTAAAATTCATTATTCGATAATCGTGGAAAATTATTACTATTCAATTTAAATTGGTTTGTTAAGCAGATGGAACTATTATGAAAAACGGTCTTTGATTAGTAGTTTAATAAAATAAAGCTTTGTGATAGTTTCAGGACATTATAATTATGTGACGGGATATAATGACACAAATATAGCCAAGTTAAATCTACTAGAAATAGATTTTAAGAGGTGATATGATGGGTTTACTAAACGCTTTGTAAAAAGTTTTTTCACTTTTACAAACCCCATACAATAATTTATTCGACACTCTTATCGCCACCCTTACAGGAAAAAAATCCATCTTAATTTTATACTTTTAGATGAGAATACAATAATGGACTGCTTGCCGCACAAAATGAAAACCGACATAGCAATTAATGTACATATCCAGACTCTTAGCAAAGTAAAACTCTTTGCGGACTGCGACGAAGCCCTCTTGAGGGAATTGGTGCTGCAACTGAAATCGGTTATTTATCTTCCAGGGGATATCGTATGCAAAAAGGGCGATGTTGGGAAAGAGATGTACATCATACAATCAGGAAAAGTGCAGGTAAACGAGTTCTATGTTGTTTTAAAGCTTTTAAACTAATTCAAATTAAGGTATTTTCCGTTAAAATAATTTCAAAGTATTAGGATTACCATAAATATTTTTAGAATTTGACGTAGGTAGCTATACAGAGTTCATAAAATAAAATCTGGAATACGTAAACATGAAATGTCGAAACGGCTTTTATTTTTAATTTTACAAAACAATGTCTTCTAAGAAAGTTCATTTCAAGTTTGGCCTGTCTTGGGATTTCGAGTTGATCAAGCCTTGGATCCATATCCTATCCAATTTTTTTTCAAAAAAGTATAATTTTCAAATTTTAGCCTTCTGTACTCTGCACTCGATAACGAAATATTTATACACATTTTTTTATATGACATTTCTTCTTATTATTGACTACTTCAATTCAAATTTAAAGTTTTGCGAATTAAATGTTAAAACTGTTTTCCACATAAATATTTTATGTAATATCTTTAGAGTTTGTGGTATTACCAATATATTAAAAAATACCAAACTTTGTAATTATTAGTATCTTCCGAACTTATGTCCTCACTTTCCTCATGTATTTTCCGTTAGTCTTGTTATTTTTTTAATATATCAATTTTCCTGGAAACTGTATAAAATATACGATTATTTCAACTATTGTTATATTGTTAATAATAAATTAATAATAATAAATAGTCAAAAATTACCACCATCCTTCACTTACAATTAGTCATCATCATAAATGAAAGAATACATTAGGCCTAATAATAGGTATAAATAACAAATAAAGGAACTGTATTTTCTAGTAAAATTAGGTCATTATTATGACAACAAATTAAAAAAATGTCAATTTTATTATTACAAATCGTCCCTTATGCCCTATAGTACTGAAATATCAGCCTTGGTTATTGTAAAAAAGAGATGATAAAATTATGATAATTTTGCAGCAGTTTGTAATAATTTATTCTATCAAATAATCTGAAATTTTCCATTTTATATTTTCTTTCAAACAGTAAATTTAATTGATCTTAGACACATATACATCGTCCGCAACAAGTTATTCATGACTCTATGATGATAGTCGATTCTTTCAGTTGTAAATACTAGTTTCACTATTATGACAGTCTTGAAGTATTGTTTCACGTGTAATAAGGTTTTCTTGTTCGAGAAATATGCCTAATTTCTCGAACATATTTCATTCAAATAAATTAAGAAATTCAGTAAAGCAAACTTTCACAACAAGAACAGAAGATGGCATAAGGAACAATTAAAAAAGGGACGGTCTGAAATATTAAAAGCGAATTGAATGAAATTTTCAATATTCTAAAAGGCAGTAATCCCAAGGGGCCGAACAGAATTCTAAGTAAGGTGTGACAGTGTTTTTCATCCTCGTTGAGTATTTTTTTACGTTAAAATGGTGACATGAGGCTTGGCATTATTACGAAGTAGAGTGTTTTTTATTGATTGGGTGTACCACTTAATTGACACTCTTTTAACAAGACTGAATAATAAAAAGTAGGTATTAATTGTATCTTTATACAGGATGTAACTTTGAGTGCAGGTTATATGTATAAAAAGGCTTCCCTTGACCTTTAGAAACACGTATCACTAGTTTATTTTTTCGTCCTGAAAACTTTGAAATTAATTTTAACCTTTTTTTTAGTAATTTTCGTACCCCGCCGCTGGACAAGCTGGCTGACCTCCAATAACGGGGCGCTTTAGTCACAACACGTGCACAATTGGGAACTGGGTTGTGTATTGTTGTCAAATCTCATATTTAAAGGAAACGTTATTAAAAAGCAACTTTCCACACCACTCGCCGTAAGGTACTGCTCTTTGATGCACGTTACTTTTGTTGAGTGAGCGTTCGCCATGAGCTCTAGCATTCCATAAAAAGTGTAATTCTTTTAAATAAGATAAACTATGAAACAGTACCTACTTAGCAAGTAACCTAGCAAAAAACTCAAATAGTAGTCAACAATGACAAATAATGAAGTATACAAAAATAAAAGGTCTGTTTGGTCACCTGATTTTTATAACATTTACAATTTTGCGGCCAAACTTCGAGTTTAAAATTTCTGGTTCTTAATTTCTCATTCTCTAAATTTGTTCCCCTCCAAACGCCTTATTCGCGTTAAAGCTCGCACAATCTTTTAAATGTTCTAACCTGCCACTTCTCACTATGTGGACGTTAGGGTACGGAGTTCGTTTGGAATTTAATAACAAATTGTTTTCTGTTTAAATATCCTTAATATAATTTCTTACCGTCGACACTGGATAAGAAATAAAATGGATGATTGTATCCTTCAGGTGTCTCAGTCTCCACATACACTGTAGGTTTACCAATAATCTTTTTACAATTACATGGTGGTCCGGCTACAATGTTGAACCAATCTTACAAACATTTTCTTATTCGCTACTTATAAATCGGCATAATCTATCTGATATCGCCGTCTTCCTTGTTCCTGGTGACATTAAAATGACACGTCGCTAAGTTATATAAAAGCAATCTGTTTTGCTAAATGATTTTTCATTGTCACTACCACAATGTAGGTTGATTTAAAAACAACTGATAACGTTGCACTAATACGCAAATTCTGGGTGTCTCGATTTACGCCGTCCAGTGACGGGTATACAAGAGTTAAAGTGCATTTTTAAAGACTAATCATAATTCGACTACCTATTTATTTGATTAAAAAAAAGAATTTCGGATTCGTATTCAGGGGAATACGTACTACCCCTAAAAACGTGACCACTTAAAGTTACACCCTATATATGAAGAAAGTACCACACTTTTTAAGAACAAAAAATACTGATGACTACGGTAGATATTTTCGTATATCGTACATCACGGTAGATGTTTTTCAACAAATTTATTAATTTTATGTTTGTCTTTCTAATAAGTTAATTGTAATTGATGGGCAAATAATTACATATTACAATATTTTAGTTTCGTTCAATTTTTCGTTATGTTTCAAAAGATTTGTCAGCATTACTACAAGTACCCTTTTAGTACTATTAATTTAAAATTGCAGAAAACTTTTATATTATTATTTTAAACTTAAAATATTTAATTTAAAATACATTTTTACTGATGCATTTACTTAGACGTAAAGAGTTATTTTTTTTAGGTTATAGGGCGTACTGAAATCGAAGTTCTTGCAACACTATCCGAAGGATCCGTTTTTGGAGAAATTAGTTTATTAGGAATTCCTGGAATGAATAGAAGAACTGCGGATGTCAGGTAAGCTTGAGTGACTAATCATTAGAAAAATGATTAATAATCACCATACGTCGTCATCAAGTTTAATAAGATGCGATTTTTTACGGACTATATGCGATTCGAATATAAATAATACACATAAATCCTAGGGTCATCCAGAATCTAGTATCTGTTTTACGAACAAAAGGCATGTCAAAACTAGAGGAACTCACAACCCCAACTGTTAAAAGTTAATTAAATGAAGGTACACCTGAGTTAACATATTAAGTTTAATCAAACATTTAATAGTTGTATTTTCAAAAACAATATATAATAGATATGTACATTTTCACAAAAAAAAATATCCAAGTGTAATGTGTGAACATTTTTCCGTGTTTTAACAATCCAGAATTTCAAACTTTTCCTTCAACACCCTGCGAATTATGGAAACGATAGTATGGATGGACCGTAAGAAGAAGGTGTATGTTGTAACCGAAGATTTGGAGCAACGTGTGGATCATGTTCCTACATCAGATCGCCATTCTACTTTGATACAACCCATAATGACTGGCCATACACCAACGGATTGTTTAGGATTTGATCTGGAAGAAGTCCACAAAATATTTCGCTCATCGGTATCAGTTAGGCCCAGTTGTATCAAATACGTATTCACTGACGTTTAAGTGAACTAACATTGATTCAGTAGAAAAATAGTTATACCGTCGTTTCAAAGTACTTGTCCAGTTAAACTGGTAGTAATCAATTGATGGCATTACTGAAATTCCAAGAAGGAGGAAGTTGTTCGCAGTAACCTCAATTTAGTCGTAAAATATATATATTTGAAATAGTATACCGCCAAATCTAAGGTAGAATATTACTATTAGGTAGGTACTTTTGTAAAATGAAATTTCAGGTGTAATTCCATATGTTATGGGTACGAGAAGAGATACGTAGAACTCCAATTTTCATGGGGTCTATAAATGTTAGAATGGGTTGTGGTATTCTAATAATTGCACGTAGGTAATCCATTACCATTCCATTTATTGAAATGAATGACACGATTTCAATAATGTTCTCGGTCTTCTATTTAACATTACATTTACTAATTCAACAAAACCCTCGTCACGGGTTAATTCTCAAATAATATAGCTTGCTGCATGACCACTGATTTGAATAATAGACCTTTTTCACACCAGAGACCGCACTTGCTATTTTACTACAATAGAGGTATTTATGTTTAGAGATTATGTCTTTTTACCGTATGATTACTGGAAGATTGTTTTTAGTTACCTATAGAAATTAAGACGAATTTCTTGATCTAACCATTAAACAAAAAAAATTCAAGCAGACGCTTTAGCTGAAAACTTATATTTTTTATTTGACTGTATGGTTTCAAGTAAAACAATAAATGCAGATAATAATTATTATTGAACTCATTGATGACTGAAATAAAAAAAATAGGATTGCAGGCCATGGATGTTGTGCTGCTTACGACAATACTTGTCTGCATAATATATAGTTTTGAAAATGTAAAAGTTTCAGTGTTTCTGATGGAATATATTGAATCATTTGCTTATAGTGCGATTTTCTCTTATATGAAAATTTTGGTATTTTATTGGAGGAAGGTATTTTTGAATCTCTGTCTTTGTCCTACAATTAAATGAATTGGTTGTAACAAAATTAAGTTTAAACTTTAGATATAAGAGAAAAATAAAAATTTGTAAAATTTCGCACTGAAGTAACTAACACTCAAAGTATTTCAAAATTTATGAATTTAAAAAACGTTTTATCTAAAAGTGGTTAAATGCTAAATAACTAAACTTTATTTATTGTTAAGTATATCATTATTATACCATTCAGTGGTAAAAAACAGTAAGTGAATGTATATGTATATCTCATTTCTGTGGTGTTTTATGTTTTTTATATGTATAATAGTATAACTGACTTAAGATTGGTAAAGGATATTTATTCAGTCCGACATTGACATTCACGTTTTTCAAGTGATCACGATAAGGCCTTAATGTTATTCAAGTACAGATTTTCAAGTACAAAACATTCAGTGTTTTAATGTGAATCATTTTGTATATTTCCAGATCACAAGGATACTCAAATCTGTTCGTGTTGAGTAAAGCTGACCTCAACGCTGCTCTATCTCATTATCCTGAAGCTCAAGACTTGCTCAACAAGAAAGCCAAAATGCTCATGAAGAAGAACGCAGCTTTAGAGAGAAAGCACAATGCGATGATTATAATAAACAATCCTTCTTCTCCCGAGAAGCAAGCCAAGCTTCTCGAAACTGTTTTACAAGTTCTACCCCAGGACTCGAAAACGAATAAACTGTTGAGGTTTGGCAGTAGGGGAAAGCCGAGGTCCAACCCAGAAAACGATAAGTTTAAATACAGGAATAGTTTGCCTATCATAAGGAATTATGGTAGTATCGACCAAACGGTTCAGGCTAAAGTCACCGTCCACAGGACATTGAGCTAATTTTGTTAGAAATATAGATAAATATGTTTCACAATGTTTTGTATAATATAGATATGTATTGTCTTGAGTCAAGAATACATTTTTTGTATACTACAATTTTGAAAATTTTAAGTTCTTAAAATCTCTAATAAAAGCTATCTTCGCGGAAAAGAGTTTATTTAATTCAAGATTAAGATATGCTTACATACAGTGTGTTTTGAAGAAAGATGCGTGACATTTTAGAATATACTTCTTTCAGGTTCAGTCCATTTTATGAGTAGCAAAACATAATTTTATTGTGTCTGCTTCATTTTATTCTCAAATATATATCTTTTGTCAACTACACTTTGTTAAAGTAGAGATAAACTTTGTTGTCAGAAATTTGATTAATTTTTTTTAATTAAGTAAATGTAAAATTATTATTTACAAAATGACTTCCCAAGATATTGGCAGTTTGACGGAAGGGAAGTACTAAAAGTGATTGATTTAATAAAATAATGTTCTTCTCATAAACTAATCCCAATTAAAAAATATCAAGAAACGTCTTTTTTGTCAATATAGAAAAGGAATTTCTTACAAAACTGAAGAAACCAATGACGACGTGCGTATTAAATTATGTGAATTCCAGTTTCCACAGCAAAAATTTTGTACTTTGGCATAGAAATTGTTGAGTGCAATTAACACTATTTATCATCAAAAATCGTCTTAGACGCATTGTATCACAAAATCAGGAGACAATGATTGTTCTTTTTTTCATAAGCAAATAAATGTATTCATGATTCAAATTAATATTTCTTTCTGTGTAGAAAAATTGTAGAATATTTTTTATAACACGCTTTGAATACTTTGTCAAAATATTAACTACTGCTCAAGAAAATTTACAATTAATTAATTGTAGTAAATTTTTATTTAATGGTGTCACACAATAAACAGTATTTCATTCTATGAAATAAGTTTTAATTGTTCTTAACTAAACAGTTTAACTGAAAAAATAATTCTTTCATTAGTTTAAATTCTAGAAATCGCCACTAGAAAATTGAAATATTAAATTTTGATAGCTAACATTAAAATAGCAATATTACCATTAATTCTTTATTTTTAAAATGTCTTCTTTTTATTCGAAATAATTAAAAGATGTAATGTATTTTTTGCAAAAAGTATTAAACTATAAAAGAAATTAGTGATCTGATGTAAAGTAATAAATAAATAGAAATGAATTATATCTATTATATTTTTGATAGAAATTTGTTTAAATTTTTTGTTAAATATGGGAAATTATTTTTATCAACAAATAAAAAAATCTTTTTGTAATATTATTAACATCTTTTATTGATGTGTCCACAATATGTAAATAAAATAAATGTTAATAAAATTCCAAGTGTTTCATTTTTATACAGTGTTTGGGAAGTATCTACTAGGAAGTATCTACTAATCTCTCTAAAGTATATAAAGGAGATCAAAATAACGCTAGAACTTCCTATATATATTTTTTCTAATATATATATATATATATATATTAACGGAAATATTTACGTTTTGGGTTCTTTGAGACCTTGTGTGTTTCAATAAATTTTGAAAATCGACCAAAGTATTCACAAACGGACTGGCTCCAAGACATTTTTTTTAACGTAGGCAGATGATAAATCGGTTTTCAAACGGTCAGCACCAACTAAAAATTATTTTCTTTACTAATCGTTTTATGTTTTAACTTTGCCAAGTCCAAAAATTTTTGCAAAGGTTAGTCATATAAATGTCGTGGATTTTGGTAGGTTAGTTCGTTTGGTTGTAGATTTCCTGTCATAGCCCCACGGTGGGCGCCATGATGCGGATTTTGCTCATACTGACTAACTTGTGGTGGAGTTGACTTACCATTATCTCCCCTTAGCATGTTTAGAGCGTCGTAAACCCTCATAATAGGTGGATGGAGCATTCATTTCTGGTTTCATTTTCATCTGCGGTGCTGGGACGTTAGTCGCCCAAGTATCTGAAGCGTTTCCCTTTTAACGTTAGCCACAAGCGACGTCAGGAGAAGACACGGAGATGATCGCTTTTCCTCCATTGTGAGTTCTAGTGTTGATGTTCCACGATCTAATTGTTGTGGTTTGGCTTAAGACGAAATTTGGACATTTGCACTTTTAATTTTAATAACAGTTTGTATTATTGAAATGTTTTGTGTAAGGATTAACAACTGAACCTTGTATATTACTAGCGGGTCTTCTGCCCCAGTGTCTAAAAGTCACTCTCTTTACACTACCAAAAGTTTGATAGTGTATTGCCTATAAGCTTTATAAGAATTGCAGCGTAAGAACTGTATGTGATTGGCGGCGCGCGGCGTGAAAGCTGTGTATGTGAGCGTTGCGCTCGATTTGGTAATTTTTAGTAGTCGAAATGTGGTTTCAAAATTCATTATTGATTTACTTTTATAGTATATAGTGTATGCAATGCAGTGGTTGCTATTCAATAGGAATCCTTGAGATTCGGTCGAGTAGGTACACACTCTGGCTAGGCATACATGCTCTGGTTAATAAACTGCGGGAAAACCTGGTTGATGTTCGCACACTGGCTGCATGGATTCCATTAGGAGGACGATGTATGGTCCCGTATAGTTGAAACCGGAAAAACTATATCTTCGGCGAAGACGACCGCCTCTGGGGAGTTGAAGGTCTGAAACTGATGTGGGTTAAAACCGATTCTAAGGTAATTAAAGGGTGTGAATTTTGAAGTCTCTATTAAATTATTTTTGCCACTTTTTGGAAAGTGAGGCGAAAAATTTTGACGCTCTGTACACTTGTCGGTGACCTCGGGAGAGAGCGGTATACGTTGTCGTCGTCGTTCGAGGAAATGAAGGCACTCTTTGCGACAATCGTCTCATCCGGGTAGCTTGGCGGGTACATCTTCGAAATGTCGGCGACATTTTTCGAAACATTGGTAAAATTTAATGTAGTCGGAGAAACGCAGCGCTCGATCGTATTCATGACAGCATCGTTGTTGTTGTCTCTGTTACGTTTCTGGCGGCAGGAGCAAGTATGAAGAGCCTTAGGAGAAATCTTGGAAAGATCGGTGAAAAGTTGATTCAAAACATAGGCCTTGCATTCTACGACAATTGCTTAACAAAAACAAGTAAAAATTAAAAATAAACATTTTCTTATTATGCTCAGCCTGTTATTTTCTAGTATTTCGGGGGGTGTTGAATAAATGAGCTCACTTGTACAACACCACAGCAAAAAAGTCTGCTGGATTTTGGTCGGTCGATCTGGTCGTTCATAGAATAGATTGATCTACCTGTAGGTTACTTGATAAACACAAACGTGAATGTAATTCATTTTGATCATTTGCTTAGTTCAATGGTTTTTTGGACTTGTATTAATTGTTTTTCTAATTGTTTCAAAAGCTGATTTATCTCGAAAACCACCCATTTTATCGAAATAAATTAAGGGTATCTTTTTTAATGTAAAATGTTCAGAGAATCTATGTCAATATTTTGAAAAAAATATATGTGTTGAGACTAGTGATTATAGGGAGTAGTAGTGTTATTTTGACCTCCCCTATACGCTTCCGAGAGATGAACATACTTACCCTTTATACATATTGACAAAGAATATTTTCAATATCATAAATTATCATAAAAATCATGTAAACCATAAGATCATATAAATTTTTCCTTTTTTGACTTCAAGGATTTGTGATAGAATTTTATGAACAACTTTTACATACACTTTGTATAAGGTTGATGATTCACTGTACTTAAATCTTCTAATGATTCCTTGGAAAGACAGGTACTCAAACCATCAAAGGGTAGACCTCTTTCATGTAATAGAGTACGTGATTGATAGCTATTGTTTTTGTTTGCTTTAGTAGATCGATATTAAGTTTTACTAATTGACTGTTGTCTTATTCGAGTAGTATACGTTCAGACGTCGATTCCATTATCCGTTTTTTGGTAAAGCTATTCCTAAGTTCTTTGAAACATTATCGGTTTCACAAGGAGATACATTTATTTACTAATCTTGTGAATTAATAGAATGAGTGGGTAAGTTCATTTTGTTCCTATATAATTTGAATTTGGAAAAAGGGATAAATAACTAAAAGGAGATAATTTATAACAGTCCCCTTTACTATAAAGGTTGCAATAGTCACATTGTTACTTATTCATCTCATTAAAATAAAGGGGGTTTTATATTTTGTTGTTGTCTTAGCTTGAATCGAGAACACAATTTTTTATCAGTACAGATCACGCGGTTGAAATTAGGAGAAGGGTGAGGACTTTCAGCTGCTAAAAAAGTGATTTTGAACTTAAATATAATATATATTTTAACAGATTTGGATAGACCAATTCAAATTAAACCTTTTGTATCTCGTTTTTTCGCAGAAGTTAAAAAATTGTGACAATAGTTGCCCATTTAGACTAAGTTTAAAAAATAAAAAAAGAATAGCTGTTGTTGTGAAACACGACGTCCAGAGGTGACAGAAATGTTGTCCTTAGGTATTTGTGTCTTTTCACTATTAATATTCGTCCTCTTGTCCACATAACCTGCATCTAGCACTGCCACTCAAACCGATTTTGTTGACGTGCTTGTTTAGACGTCCATAACCCATCCTATGAAGATCCTAGTGTTCTGCCAAGAACGCTGATTTTCCGATTTGTTTGAGGTCATGAGCCCTCTATGAGAAACTTGGTCTCTCGCAAAATCTGCTATTCTTCCAATGGCCGTTCTTTGATCTAATTATGAATGAATCCTGTTCCATAACAATGCAGTAGCATTACCCAATTGAGATACTAACCTCTTCTGCAATTTCTCTGATAGTCAATCGGCGATTTACACGCGCCAGATATTTAATTTTCTGAACGTGGGAGTTATCAGTTGAAGTCTAAGGCCTTCCTGATCGAGTATCATCTTCAATTGACTGACGACATGAAAACCATTTGTAACATTGTGTACGATCCAGAGCATCATCTCCATAAGCTTGTTTCAAAACTGGAAACGTTTCCCTGAACGTTTTCTCCAGTTTAACGCAAAATTTTACTTTGCATCGTTGTTCAAAAATCGACTAACTCA